ATGCAATCTATTTATTTGTGATGTCTTCACCAATTACTTATCATTAACAAAATCAATTACGATGAACAAAAATATCCTGAAATGAAATTGTCGTACATGTCGGTATAAGAGTGATTCAAAGAAGAAATTATTAATAGGTAGTGCTTACGAGAGTGATTATATAGTTCGAACTATTCAAGCTTGCTCCTAGGGACAATTGAACATGAAAGTTAACCATAATCTCGCGGTGATAACTACTTTAACAAATATATGTTATCGATCGCAATTTGATAGCACAAATTATATGCAAGTATGAGCAAGTTTTTATTTTTCATTTAACACAATATCTCAAATCAAACTTAGAGGATTAGACTCATCAAATACCATATTATAGCAACAATTCAAGTGATGTGCAAGCATTTATCTTCTAAGATCAGTTTCAAGATGATCAATTTTAAAAACATGGAGTAAGAATTTTATATAATATTTTAAGGTTCTTCAAAACCAAAGCTATGAGCGGTTGCCATGTGGCACCCATTCTTTTGGCATTTGAATTATTACTAGGATGGTACCCGCACTGTGCGCGGGATAAAATGAATATATACAAATGGAATTCAAAAATTTCTTGTATATTCGAATTTGTAATTATTTTGTATAGAAATATATTTCACATTAAAATATGAAAAATATATAAATCAAACACATTTATTTTACTTATTATATTATATATTAATCTTTTAGATTTAATAGTGAGATTTAATATTAAAAGTTTTGAAATATACGTTTTTGGCAAGTTTAAGAATATTCAATATGTTTTTTCTCGAAACTTGAAGAATATTCACATGTGTTTAAGCATCTTAGATAACACAAACACAATAAAAAATAAAAGATGTTCAATACCAGTATATTAGAACATTTAAATTCTTTTAGCAAATGTGAAAGAAAATTAATTACCACATGATAAATAATTGTTAAATATTATGGTTATGATAATTTTGTTTTATTTTTAAGAATATTTTGTGGAAACATTTTTAGCCAATTTTCCTTAGTTACCAACTTACCATAATAAATTTATTTAGAGTAGATTACATTTTTTTGGTTGAATGATAATTAAATTAGATTTTGAATTTTTGGTAAGAAATTTTAATGATTGGATGGAAAAAGCCAAAAAGGTTAGGTTTTGTAACTACCAAGATTTTATAATTTTTTAATTAATGACAATCAAATATTTTTTTAGATCTCAAATAAAATTATTATGATTTATATAGTTTTATTAGATGTTTTATAACAACCTCAGATTCATTAAAATAAAAATATATGGTGTTAGCTTATTTGATTACAAACATATATTTTTATAAATTATATTTTTTTCATATTAATAAAAATCCGTAAGATAAATTTTTATACTAAGTTTTTGGTAAAAAATTATATTGAATAAATATATATAATCTAACTTTATAGGTTCATAGTCCTTGTATGAATAAAATAATTTTGTTCTTATACACAAATTCGAGTTTAATTAATTGGTAAAGTTTTTTTATGTAAAATACTTTTCAATTAATATATATTTTTTTAATGGAAGTTTGAAATTCTGTTTGGCAATAAGTATATCTTATGTTTGGAAGTTTGAAATTTTTATAATAAGTTTTTGGTAAAAAATTATATTGAATAAATATATATAATCTAACTTTATAGGTTCATAGTCATTGTGAGTAAAATAATTTTGTTCTTATATACAAATTCGAGTTTAATTAATTGGTAAAGTTTTTCATGTAAAATACTTTTCAATTAATATATATTTTTTTTAATGGAAGTTTGAAATTCTATTTGGCAATAAGTATATCTTATGTTTGGCAATAAAGATAACCAAATTAAATAAATCAAAAATAAAAATGGTGAAAAAATTGAGAGCTTGACACATCACCAAGATGAACCCAAATGCTTCTCCTTTAATATATAGAGGATCTATTAATAAGAAAAATGAAAAATTTGTGTTAATAACTTGACAAATAATTTCAACAATTTAATGGCTAATTTTAATATTAAATGTGTTATTGTGAATTTTTAATGGTTTGAAAAATAGTTATTTTATTTGTTAAATCCAACAAAATAATATACAAAAAATGTTTAAGACTTTTATTTTTACATAGGTAATCATGTTTTTGTTTTGTAAAAAGTCCCAAAGAGAAGTTTCGATAAAAAAATGCCTAACATGGACAAAAAAAAAATACTGTGAAAAAAATTAAGATATGATTTTAAAATTGTTAAGATTGTTAAAATCTGATTGGAGATATTCATAATTAATCTTTTTTAATCTTCACACTTTCTAAAGCCAATTTCCTAATTACCCCTCAATGAAATTAATACAATTTGTAATGGACTACTTCTATCGAAGACTCTTGAAAAAACTTTAATCCACCACAAATTGTGAATCTAGAAAAAAAAAATCACTTCACCAAT